AGCATGGCCCCTGGATGCCAACATGGTCACAGGATTCAGCCTAGATCCCAGACATCCCTGTGGCCTTTGGTGGCACCACAGGCCACAAATAACACAGACCCTGATTGTGGTAAGACCACAGACCCAGACATGGTCCCAGGTGGCAGTCTGGGCTCAGATGTCACCATGGTCCCAGGTGGTAGTGCAGGCCATCCAGATCGGCATGGCCCCTGCATCAGTGCCAACATGGCCATAGTTGGTGGCCCAGACTCTTGCTATCAGCATGGCCTGCAATGGTATCAGTAGCCACAGGCATCAACTCAGACACTGGCTGTGGTCTGTGTCCTGTCCAGCGGACTTGTCTATCCTTGCTTGAAAAGAGGAGTGAGGGCTGAGGAAAGAAATAGACAAGAAACAGAAGATAGAGTGGGGAGGGCATCCAGTGAATACTGTGATCCACTACAAGTTTATTACTCAAAGTTCTTATATACCCCAATCAAAAGGGGAAGGCAAAAGACTTCCATGATACAAAGAACAAACAAACGTAATTACCTCCTTAAAACCTAAAACATCAAGTAACCACACCCTAAACCAAATATCCTGTTGTTTAGGCAAGATATCCAGTAGACAGTTAAACAACATCCTGTTGTTTAACCTTGAAGGAGCAATAATAGGTGTGAACTCGCTGACCTAAAGTCAAGATGGAGTGCAGCCACTTCTGTGGGCCTCCACAGGTAGAGCTACAGACCCAGACATGGCTCTCAACAGCAGCCCTGGCCCAGATGACACCATGGCCCCTGGTGGCAGCACAGCCCACTCATATTGGCATGGCCCAGGTGGCAGCATGGCCCCCAGGCACCAACTTGGCCCCGGGCTTGTATGTCACCTTGACCCTAGTAGTGGTGTAGGCAGGGCATTATGATTGGTAAGGCTCCAACAGCAAGCAGTGTGGCACTCAGACACCACCATGGCCTCAGGTGGTGGCCAAGACGCCTGGCAGTGGCATGTCCTTTGGTGGTATCATGAGCCACAGACATCAACACAGAACCTGGTTGCAGTAGGGCCGGGACAGAGACGTGGGTAGTAGCACAGGCCATCCCTATTAGCTTGACCCTGGCAGTAAGAAGCATGGCCCTCAGAGACCAACATGGACTCAGGTCATCCACACAGCCTTAAGTGGTTACTGAAGTCATGGACATCAACAAAGACCCTGTCTGCTTCAGGGCAACGGACCCAGACATGGCCCCTGGCAGCAGCCCAGGCCTGGACATCATCATGTCCCTCTGTAGCAGCACAGGCCACTCAGGTCAACATGGCCCTGGTGGTGTCATGGCCCTTGGATACAAAAATGGCTACAGGTGGTGGCTCACATCCTGAGCATACCTGTGGCCTCAGTGGCAATATGGGTCATGGACATCAACAATCACCCTGGTCCTGAGTGGCAAGCAGGCGGCTAACATCAGCCCATTCCTCACAGCTCTCGCTTCCTCAGAACTGCCTCTTGCCACAGCACATGAACCATTCGGCCTCTCTTTCTCTCCCACATCATCACCATATACTTTCTCCTCCTATTGGCAACTGACTGCCTGGTGCCACAAGGTACTGCTGGGGCATGCGGGTGCTTCAGCCAGGCTGGACTGTGAGGACCCAGGCTGCCCTGTGGGTGTCTTTTACCCACCTGAGCTGCATGGCATCAGAGGGCTTGTGGATGCTTCAGGCAGCCCAGACTATCCACATCTCTCTTTTTAAAAAATAGATGTGTGGGGCTTGATACGGTGGCATGCACCTATGATCCTGACACTTAGGAGGCATAGACGGGAGGATCAGGAGGAAAATGCCATCCTCAGCTCCATAGCAAATTTGAGGTCAGCCTGGGTTATGAGACCCTATCTCAACAATCCAAAAGAAAAAGGAATTACTGCTTTTATTAGTAATCATGAAAGAAGGTGATACATAGTATAGCAATATAACTGGATATTTTACATTCAAGCATATGTATGTATGTATGTATGTATGTATGTACGTATGTACGCATATAATCTGCCATCCACATCTATTTCATGGGTATCTATGTATAACATACACAACATGGTATGAAATTTGGGGATTTTAGAAGAACACAGAAGTAGCCACCACTAATCATTCTATATGCAGCAATCCTGAAACATATGGATAATATGTGCATCGTTTGAGCTCATATTATGAACAGTTGTGTAGTCAGCTGTTTTTGATTCAACTGATGGGGGAATTCTTCTATATATTTGTTTTTCTTATTGGTTTATGAATAAAACACTGATTGGCCAGTAGCCAGGCGGGAAGTATAGGTGGGGCTACCAAATGAGGAGAATGCTGGGGAGAGGATGCAGAGAGAAGCCACCAGGAGGAGATGCCATGTAGCTGTTGGGAAGATAGGATGCCAGACCCTTCTCTGCTAAGATAAGACTACATGGAAATACTTAGATTAATAAGGATGGTTTAATAATTAAGAGAAAGTTGGCCAATAAGAAGCCCAAGCCATCAGACAAGAGTTTAATAATTAATATAGTGTCTGTGTATTTATTTGAGGTGGTGGGACAGAAACCTCCATCTTCAAATGGTACCCAACATGGCAGACACTCAGACTATATTCAACAATATGGTATGAACATTGTGATTTGTTTATAAGAAGATGACATTTAATTTATGCACATTGTCATTCCTTTTTAAAAACAAATTACTCATTATTTGAGAAGTTCATACATATATGTATACATATAATATATTTTTTATCATAGCCACTTCCTGCCCTCCAACAACCTCCATACTCTCCCAGTGACTCTCCATCCCAACTTCATGCTCTCTTTTTATTTTATTTTAACTTTTTGAGTCTAGTTAGTTCTGCCATTATGTCTGTAGATATGAGGTCTTTCACTGGAGTATGAGTAACCTATCAATGGCCACACCTACAAAGAGAAAAATTACTCTTTCTCCCACATCCAGCAACCACCAGTAGTTCCTCAGGTGGGGGAATGTGGCTTGGTGGGCCCCTTCTCCACTTTGTCATTCTTAATAATTTTACATTAAAGATCTTTGAATTTTTATTTTCTTCTGGACTCTATAATCTTATAGTGGGTGTATTTTTTACTTATTGATAATGTAATTTTTGGGTCTGGCCTGGTCTTTTCTGAAGGGAGATGGAGGAGAGGATCTGGTGGAGAGGGGATGTGGGAATGGGGAGACTGGGAGGAATGGAGGGAGGGGAAACTGTGGTTGGGATGCAATGTATGAGAGAAGAATTCAAAACGTATCTATGTATGTAGACAATGCATAAAAAGAAGAGGAAAATCACCCCACACTTTACCTCTTATAAATGAATTCCTGAAACCGTGTGGTGTAAATTCATTGAGAACTTTCTTTGAGATAATGCAGACTTGAACCTGAACAAAGTTCATCAGTATGTATTGTATGTTTTCCCATCGACAATCAGCCTTTTACAGTGGCTTATCAATAAGTAGACATTTGAACCATGATGGCATCATGTCCTCTTGTCTACACATGTTTTAATTTGTCTACTACCCTGGTCATGTGGACTTGCTTGTGTGGCCACTTATTAGGCAGATCCTCTCAGAGTGACATGCACTCTTCTTGTGGCTGGGTCCAGGGCTAACATGCTGAAAGCATCATGATTAAATTGCCAAGTCTGATCTCTCTCCAAACCTATACTGGCTCCCTCTATCAAGGCATCTCCTTCCCTGCCCTCCTCTATTCCTCCCCCATCTCAGAGAGATCTGGCACTGGAGAAATGTTCGGGGATCCACAGGGATGACCAACTAAGAATCTAGGTAGTGGTGGAGAGGCTGCCTTTGATGCCCTTCCCCTATAATGAGATTGATGACTACCTTGGTTACCATTCCTAGAGCTTTCATCCAGTAGCTGATCGAAGCAGAAGCAGGCACCCACAGCTAAACATATTCCTGGAATCCAGTTGTGGAGAGGGAGGAGGGATGAGCAAAGGAGCCAAGACCATGCTGGAGAAACCTGCAGAAACAGTTGACCTGACCTAGTGAGAGCATGGAGACCCTAGTCATAAAGCTGGGGAACCAGCACTGGACTGAACCAAGCCCTCTGAATGTGGGTGCCAGCTAGGAGGCCAAGACTGTCTATGGGACCTCTAACAGTGGAGCCAGTCTTTAACCCTAGAGCACAAATGGACTTTGGGAGCCCATTCCCTATGGAGGGATACTGTTGCAGCCCAGATACACAAAAGAGGGCCTAGGCCCTCCCCCAAATGATGTGGCAAACTTTGATGGTCCCCTGTGAAGGGCCTCACTATCCTTGGGGAGTGGATGGGGGGTGTTGGGGGTCCGTGGGAAGCATGGAAGGATGGGAGGTTGAGGGAATGGGGGGATTGATGTGTAAAATAAGATTGTTTCACAAATAAAAAAATATAAATAAAAAATTACCAAGTCTGTGTATTGAAAAGGGCCTCACTATCCTTGGGGAGTGGGTGGGGGGGTGTTGGGGGTCCGTGGGAAGCATGGAAGGATGGGAGGTCGAGGGAATGGGGGGATTGATGTGTAAAATAAGATTGTTTCATAAATAAAAAAATATAAATAAAAAATTACCAAGTCTGTGTATTGACAACAAATTGATCTCGGAAGAGATCTGGTCTTTAGCCAGATCTTCTGTCTGAGGCAGGCCTTTGACGTCTTTTCTGATACTGGCCTTGGCAGCTCCAGCCATACAGGCCTTTCTGGGAGAATAATTCTTGCTTTCCGCAAGCACACTTGGGACTGCTTTGGGCAGCAGCTGCAGGAAGTCCCGCAGTGCTGGCACCGGCTGTCCTCTGGCACGGTGGGTGAGTGCTTGCTTTGGGTGAGAGATGAGAGCTCTAATGTGGGGGAGGAGCCTATGGTGCTGAAGGGCTCTGACCCCAGAATACTGTCACCCTGAGTTGGAGTTCACCTTCTTCCTGAAGGCAGAGACAGGTACCCGTTCTGAGGCTGTCAGCCTGGGGAACTGTACTTACAAGGAGACCTGGTATGGAGTTGTCCTCTCTCAGGCTGTGGCCTCTGCTTCTCCTGGCCTGGTGGCCTCTTCTTCCTGGTGAGTATGTGCTGCTGTGTGAAGGCCCTGGGTTTCAGGGACACAGGTGTACAGAACACAGGTGACTGTGTTCAGGGATGACACAGTGCTGGTGATGTCTGATGCCAACTATGATTTCACCCAAGAAACTGTTGGATTCTGTAACAATGCAGAGTATTTATGATTGAGAAATCTGAGAAAAAGAGGGATTGGGATGAGTAGTGAAGATGAGCCTTCTTGTTGACATGGTGTCTCCATGTAGTCCTGGCTGTCCTGGAACTTGCTCCATAGACCAGGCTGGCCTTGAACTCAGATCTTCCTGCTTCTACTTTCCAGTTCTGGGATGAAAGGCATGTGCCACCATGGCCAGCTTGAAGATAAGTTTTCTAATCATGAAGCATTTTTTTTAAATAAACCCAGAATGTTTTCCCTGTGTTTTTTGTTCTTATTCCCAAAGGTCTAACTGGTGAGAACATAGTGAATTTCCTGAGTGGTGATAATAAATGTGAAGGCCAAATACAGTTGCTGTATGATGGGCAGTGGGGCCTTATGTGTGGGGACAGTTTGGGCATGCAGGAGGCCTCAGTGATCTGCAGACAGCTTGGCTGTGGCTCTGTGAATTCTATTTCCCAGTACATTTTGACACCCGAAGAGATGAAACAACCTTGGCTGTCTAGCGTCCAATGCCATGGTGAAGAAGCCACCCTCTGGGAGTGTCTCCTAGGGTCCTGGGGGCCCCTCAGTGGCTGCAATTGCCAATGTGTGGCTGTGATTATCTGCTCAGGTAAGTTAGATGGAGACTCTGTGCTCCTTAGTCCCTTGAACTTTTTTCTCTGTCTCAGCCATGGAAGCATTGAGGCAAATGTGCAGGGGAGGGTGTGGCCAGGTATGAACACATCTTATGCTTGGATCTTAAGGCTGTTGGGTTCTCAACTTCTGTAGACACTTTCATAGTATCTTTAAATAAGATCTCCAAGTTTTAAAAGCTAGCTACTTCCCTTGTTAACATCAGTCTTTAGAGAGAATGTTTCCACTCTCACTGTGCATAAGGAAAAGCTCCAGACAAGGAGTTAGCCTCATGATATAGGAGGTAGGAGTCCTGGCCCACTTCCTCTGGAAGGATGGCATTTGTTACCTTCAGAAAACAACAGTGGGTGGGAATACCCCCAGGGGCACTATGGACAGTGACTCAACATGGGGCAGTCAGTACCCATCCCTTGTTTGCTCTAGAGACACAACTCCAAGACTCGGTTTCTCTTCAATGCCACCAGGTGGTACCACACGATACATCGGGTTAGCTGGTGGAAGCAGTCCGTGTGCTGGGATTCCAGAGGCCACTGGCCTCTCCGGCCTTGCCCTGAGATGTGACTTGCAAAAGGAGGAGGCTGGCGTTCTGTGCAGACAGCTGGAGTGTGGCACTGCCCTGCAGTGGTCCAGAGCCCATCTCGGAGCAGACAGGAAGCAGGAAGAGAAGTATATTACATGCCAGGGAACCGAGCCTGACATTTTACATTGCCAGACCAATGTGAACTTCCTAGAGCAATGCGACCTCCTGACCTACACCCAGATTGTATGCACAGGTAGGAACACCAACACAGAGTATTTTAGTCTTCATGCTGTACGTATATGAAGAAAAGAGATCCAGGTATCTGCTCCATAGTAATGTCAATGGAATCCTTACCCCAGATTCACAGTTGAAAATAATTCACTTTGCCTCTAAGATGTAGTTATGGGAGACTCCTGGGCGTTTCCTGAAATCAGTGTTCACCACTCTTTCCAGGACACAGATGGCCATGATTCCCTAGAAGTCGGGTGACCAGAAGGAGTGTTTGTGCTCAGAGTCTGTGTGGAGTTCAAGGCTCATGGGAAGACAGAGCAGGGGTCAGGGTCTTTGGTCTGTAGACCCCAGAACTTGTCCAGTGATCCTCTGTGTCAGGACTAATGGGATTGGTCCTGTATCCTTCCACACCATTCCTTTCTGGGGACCAGATGGTAGCCACCAGGTCACATCACCCAGTGCCTGCATGGAGCCTGCCCTGACTTTCAGTCTAGCCTTTGTCCCAGGGACACATGGAGGTCTGGCTGGTGGGTGGAGTGCACCCCTGTGAGGGTTCCCTGGAGGTTCTGTGAGGACTGACCTGGGCACCGTGTGCAGGCGGACCTGGACTTGCTCACAGCTCACATGTTTGGCTAGGAGCTGGTGTGGTGTGGCTGTATCTATATCTGGGAGTTTGGCTGGGCTCAGTGCCTGTGTAGAAGGCCTTCCACTTTGTGAGTCACCATGAGTCATTGATGGTCCTTTATCACAGGAGGATACTTATGTGGCCATGACCAAGATGCTTCACTAACTTTTCCAGGGGAGGTGAGTTAGGTTATGGACTGGTAGGGTGTGATGTCATGTGATGTGGTCAGGGTCTGGGGTCTGGGCAGTGATGACCACGGACAGCTAGGTGGGTGACTCAGGGCCCGTGTCCTCTCTCTCAGTTTCCTCTCTAACGACTTATGTATTTGTTCACCTTCGTCTTTTGGATAGTGTCTGCTCAGCTCTGTCATCAACTTCAGAAATAAGATGCCTTTCTTTTGGAGGCAGTATTGATAGTTTTGTGTACTGTGTATGGTGATTCTTTGTGAACACATGTATTACAGTCAAACAACACTAATTGTTCTTTCCGTTTGTAAAATGGCAGTTTCAGCTTGCTTGATTTTGGTATTGTTTTCTGTCTTGTGCTTGTGTTTTGGTGTCATATCTAAATCTTGATTTTGCAAGTCTAAAGTCCTGCAGCCTCACCTCCTGCTCTCTGTTAAGAAGATGCCCTTCATCACCATGTTCAGGGCTAGGAGTTTACAGTTGCTCTGGTGCTTCCCCCACGCCTGGTTCAGGACATTGTTCTTCCTGAACAAATGGCCATGGCCACTTTCATAAAGTTGATGACTGTGAGCGAGATATTGCACTCCAGTTTTGGTCTATTGATTTCTGTGTCTCTTCTAAATTTGTAGCTTTATAGTAAGTTTTGAAATAAAGGAGTATATATCCAGCTGCTTATATGGCTTGGGTCTTTGGGAATCCTTCACATCCTCAAGAATATTAAAATTAACTTTCTAAATTTCCTAAGTGCCATTTTGATCTTTCATTGTTTTAAAATTGTGTGTGTGTGTGTGTGTGTGTGTGTGTGTGTGTGTGTGTTATGAATTATTAATGTAGGTGTGCCTGGGCCATAGCATGTGTGGGAATGTCAGAGCACAATTTTTCAGTAGTTGGTTTTCTCCTTCCACTTTGTTTTGAACCAATGTCTCTCTTACTGTGTCTGCACTTGTGCTGTGTGTTCCAGGCCAGCTCCTATAGAGATGTCTGCGTATGAATGCTCATTGCTGCTCTATTCATAATAGCTAGGAAACAGAAACTGTCTAGATGCTCTCCCATGTGTGAATGGATAATGAAAATGTGGTTCATATACACAATGAAGCATTCAGTTGCAAAGAAAAAAAATGAAATTTACAGGCAATGGATGGAACTAGAAGCAATCATTTTAAAAGAGTTAACTCAGGATCAAAGACAACAAACACCACATGCTCTCTCTCTCTCATGTATGGATGATAGTTTTGAATTTGTAGATATGTTTAAATTGGAATATTCATAGAAAACAATAAATTAGTCAAGGGCCATGGGGTGAGGTTTAAAATAAAGGGATATAAAATAGAGATGGTAATTAGGGAAAAGGGGAATAATGGAACAGGAAGCGATGACAGGGTGATGGATGGGAGGGCATGGTAGAAGATATAAATGTCTTTATATAAGAAAACACACACACACACACACACACACACACACACAGAGACAGACAGACAGACACACACACAGACACACACAGACACACAAACACACTCACACACACACACACACACACACACACACACACACACACACACACACAGAGTTTAAATGGAGTTATCCCACAACAGGGGCATAATGCCTCATCTAGGCATCATCTTATTAAAGAAAAAGCCTTGTCCCAGGTATTGGATACCTCTTTTCTAGTTATTGATCACTGGTGTCCCATAGGCTCATCCAACTATTATAATCCATTATTATTACTCTTGGTTACCCTGCAGAACTTGAGGGTAAGATGGTATTGCTGAGAGAACCACATACTTGGGTCACAGAACATGGAAAAATCAAGCTGGTATAAATCTGGAAGCTTGTCTCATAGGTATCTTTCACAGACCTTAAATGTTTTTTGACATTTAAAAATGTCAGTTTTTTCCTAATGATCACAGCATATAGTATTCATTCCATTTATTTATGTTTTGCCCTTTATTATTTCTTTTCTTCTACTATTTGTGCATATGACTTATTCTTGCTTTTTTAAATCCCTGAGTTACATTCTTAGGTTGTTTGGGATTTCTTGCTGTAGGCTTTCTTAATAGACTGCTTTCATGGTATCCATTAGTGTTGGTATTTCTTTTCTGTTTTAAAGAGTTATTTATTTTACTTTATGTGTTTGAGTTTTTTTTTGCCTGTATGAATGTATATGCACCACATGCGTTCCTGGTGCCCATGAGGTCAGAAGAGGGTGCCAGGTCCCCTGGAGTGGGTGTGTGTGAATCACCATGTGGGTGCTGGCAACAGAACCTGTGTCTTTTGAAAGAGCAAGAAGTGCTCTTTACTGCTAAGCTATTTTTCCTGACCCAGTATTTCCATTTTGTTTTGTTTGTTTCTGTTTTGAAGTGGGGTTAAAACCCAGGCCCTTAGCTAAGCACCTTCCCTAACACTCAGCTGTATCCCTCACCACTGAAGGCTGTTTATAAAGTTTTTCATATATTTTTAGGGTTTGTCCTTTTTCTTTTTCTCTTTCTTTCTTTTTTCTTTTATTTTTAGGATTTGTAAAGTGTGTCATGCTGCTGGTTCCTAGTTTTATTCCACTGAGTCCATTGAAAAGAATAGTAAGATCCCAGGACAATTAATGAGTGTGAGGTGACCTAATGAGGGTAAGTGAGGATGCTGTTTGACCTCTCTGTGCTAATAACCTAAAAGAGAGCCTGCTGAGTTTTAATCAGCACTACCACTTACAGGCATTACTGAAAACACCCGCAATGTATTAAAGTGGAGTAGGTCAACCCTGGGAAGGAAAAAAGAACCAAGGGAATACATTGAGGCTATTAAAATATTCATAATTATATTCATTACCTTTCTCACACTGTTTCAAGAAAGGACTAAATGATGAATAACCACATGAATTTTTTCTTCAAAATCTACTCCAGAAGCAGACTTTGTAGGAACCTAAGCCAAATGGAAATGAACCAGAACTGTTTTTGTAAACAGGCTTAAACCTGCCTTTAGTTATCTGGTTCTTTCTATTCCTTAATCAGCCCCTAAACCTCTAAGAATACTTAAAAATCAGAATACCAGCACCAGCCCAGAACACTAATAACATGCCTCCTGGATGGCCATGGCAATGTTTCGATCTAAGTTTTTTTGAGTTGGTGGTTACCAAAGAATTCACAAGACAGGTTCATGTTAGCACCTTTCATGCAAGGCATGTTAAAGCCTATTTAAAAATCAGTGTATATTATAGAATTGTAGCCACCTCACAGATGGAGTAATACAGCCTGTACTGTCTTTAACAGTTTATATCAGGAAGTGAAATCAATACTGTACCAAATCTGAAATTATAATGGGGAATTATGTATTCTAAATTACTTTTGTACTTTAAGTTACTTTTTATGAGAAAAGTGAATTGTTTTCTTTGCAGCTATTTGTCCTGAGATGTATTTTTTTCTTTAAGTCTTGAATATGAATACTACAAACAGAGCCCATTTTATAATACAAACCTTGATGTACACGTTAAGCTATTTGGACAATGAAAATACCTTAAGGGAAATGCTTAATGAATAATGCTGCACTTGTAACATCCTTTGACAAGCCTGATTTTAAATTGTCCTTTTTAATTCTACTAGTTTTTTTAAGTGTTTGCCATTGTACTCACAACTGTTATTAAATACCAAATCAAATAAAAGCTGTAACATTTCCTTTAAAATTAATGCTAATAAGGGAAGTAAAGTTGAATGGCAAAACTTGGTGGTGCCTAATATCAGCCACGGGATTCCATGCATGACAAGATACCATTGTTTGAATTGTCTTTTATAATCACATTCTTTTTTTCCTCTTTGATTCTCCATATATATATATATATATATAGGATTAACTATATAAAAAGAAATAAAAAGGTACATTTTTAAAACAAATTGCTATAATCATTTAAAAATTGTATATTAGCCAAGTGTTACTCTTTGCTCTGGACAACTATTATCAGTCTTTCTGTATTTTATCCTAACTATATTTTGGTTATTAAGAGGTTTGGGGAGAGAATCAGTTTTGTCAATCCTAAACTGTTTAAATGCAATCTATAGTAGTTTCCCTTATCTGAGAAGGGTTATTCTCCAACACTCCCAGTGAATGCTAAAAGTTTAAATCATAAACTAGGCACAGTAAGAGTAACAATAGTCACCAATAATAAAATAGATCTATAACAAAAAAAGAAAAGAATAGTAAGGGTTTTCACCATCAGTGTGGTCTCATCCCTAGTGGCTTTTCCTGGGCTCTACCCTGGACTACTTCCCATGTATGACAGGAAGAAGTGTTCTGTGAAGCTGTTGAGTACATTTGTCTGTAAATGCATGACATGATCATTGATCTATCTTTTAAGTTTACTTGTAGGCGTCCTGTGATGTCTGGACCTTTCTGATGAAAGTAGAATATTGGCATCTACATAATGGTTAGATTTTGTAATTGCCCTATGAGCTAGGTCATCTAGTATTGGATATATACACATTTTAATTGTTATAACTTGTTGTTGGCCAGTTTATTAATTATCTTTGTTTCATTTTCATGCTTTTGGCCTATAGCCTACTTTACCCAGTATAATTTTTGTGATGAATTCTCACTTTTGTTGAGTTCTTTAAAATCATTCATCTGAATTCTTTGTTGGGAAGCTTACAGAGTTCCTCATGTTAAGGTAGTTGTGTTCCCTTGGTGGGTGTCATATTAACCTTTGTGCCCCTCTGATGATATTTCTGCATCTGGTGGTTTTTTTCATCTCTACCCTCTTACTGGGTGTTTTCTCAGTGAGAAGGATCTTGTCCTGGCAGTTTCCTGTC